ATCGAAAACAAGTTCTAATGTTTTTGCCAGAAATTCTTTTCTTGGTTATTTCTTTTGTGGCGATTGAGATATCAGCCAGTTCTGTTTGGACCACGCTGGTATTTTTTTCCATTCCCTACTTAAACCTCAAGCTTAGTGATCTGGAGTACACTCCACATAATGAGCCTTCTTTTTTTTTGAGCCGTCTGTATATATGCGTATTGCATTTGTAGCATCTGATTCAGTGTTCTGTTTCGTTTGTATTCTGTAGGGTTTATTAAACACAAACCTGGATTCAATTGCTTACTGGTTGCCTGCAGCAGAGGTTGCGGAGTAAGCGCTTCTCGCTACAGGCTCAGCCTCAATTGACCCATTCCTACTTCGAGGTTTACACCAGCCGTGGGCAATCGTAACATGGCCTTCAATGCAACCTTCTCAACGTACAGATCCAGAGGGGTCAGACCGGTAATTAACTCCATTGCTGCGGTTGGTGTTGTTCTCATGGCTCTTGTGATGTTTAAACAAGCCAGTCGCTGTATTTGATATAATTTTTGGATGGCCGTTTCTTGTAGAACTTTCGGTCCCCATGCAATGGCTCCGTACGTTAACATAGGTCTTATTATTTCAATGTAGATCTAATAGTAGTTAACAGAATCCTGCTTGAGGAAGTTACTGTATAGCGAAACTCGTGTCGCGGTTTTGTGAACCTTTCATAATGAAAATCAAAACAAATATTATTAGTTGTTTATATTGGGTTTTCATCATGGCTACGGTATTGTTTTTTATGTTTTCTGATGATTTTCGGGTGTTTGTTTTTTACCACTTTTATAAAAGTGGTAAAAAACATAGAAAGTTTCATTTCTCTTTTCTTTATTATGATTTCCTACCACGTAGTAACGGCTACATCAATCAAGCTATTGTAACGAATTTGAAGCAGCTCCTGACCGATACGCCAGCCGACTCATCAAACAAACACATGACCTCACCTCGAAAGAATGCAGTCTGGAACGGTCGGTAAAAGTCTAGACTAGTACCGAACCGTCTACAGAATTCTCGAAAGGACCTTTTCCGATAAACCCGTCTTCCCGACGCGAGAGGGCAGTTCAGAAAGTAAATCGAGCGGGTAAACAAAAAATTCAAATAGTAGAAATAAATTAGGCGTAGTTGCTAAGTGTTGTATGTAGTTTCATCTGCTTTTCATGCTTTTTTGTTGGTGAAAGGCACAAACGTTTCAAGTGTTTTGCTTGTTCGGCGATTTTATGCTATTGTAACGAATTTGAAGCAGCCCCTGACCGATACGCCAGCCGACTCATCGAACAAACTCATGACCTCACCTCGAAAGAATGCAGTCTGGAACCGCCGGTAAAAGTCTAGACGAGTACCGAACCGTCTACAGAATTCTCCAAAGGACCCTTTCCGATATAAGCCCGTTTTTCCGACCCAAGAGGGCAGTTCAGAAAGTGAATCGAGCGGCTAAACAAGAAATTCAAATAGTAGAAATAAATTAAGNTAAAAGTCTAGACGAGTACCGAACCGTCTACAGAATTCTCCAAAGGAACCTTTCCAATATAAGCCCGTTTTCCCGACCCAAGAGGGCAGTTCAGAAAGTGAATCGAGCGGCTAAACAAGAAATTCAAATAGTAGAAATGAATTAGGCGATAGCTGCTAAGTGTTATATGCAGTTTCATCTGCTTTTCATGCTTTTTTGTTGGTGAAAGGCACAAACGTTTCAAGTGTTTTGCTTGTTCGGCGATTTTATGCTATTGTAACTAATTTGAAGCAATCCCTGACCGATACGCCAGCCGACTCATCGAAAAAACTCATGACCTCACCTCGAGAGAATGCAGTGTGGAACCGCCAGTAAAAGTCTAGACGAGTACCGAACCGACTACAGAATTCTCGAAAGGACCATAAGTCCGTCTTCCCGACCCAAGAGGGCAGTTCAGAAAGTGAATCGAGCGGCTAAACAAGAAATTCAAATAGTAGAAATAAATTAGGCGTTAGTTGCTAAGTGTTGTAATAAATAAATTAGTTTGTGATTATTGACATATTGTTCGAAATAAATTGGTTTGAAACAGTTAATTAATTAATGTACCACACTATTGAACAAAATGGATCAAAGAATTTGCATCATATTTTTATGTGAAAAAACGAATTAGGTGCTCAAAAACATTTGAAATCTTGACAGTGACATACGGTGATAGTACTCTGAGTCAGAAAAATGTTAAGTGGTACAAGCTTTACACAGAAGGTCGAGAAGATGTGAATGACGACGCTCCTACTGGACGTCCCAGCACATCCACAACCGATGAAAATGTTGAGAAAGTAAAAAAAATTGTGAATCAATGGTGAATCGTTGAATCACTATTAGATAAGTTGCTGAGGATGTCGGCATATCGGTTGGCTCATGTCATGCAATTTTTTCGAAAATTTCAGGCATGAAACGTGTGGCAGCGAAGTTCGTTCCAAAATTGCTCAATTTTGACCAAAAAAAAAAACATCGCATGAGCATCGCTCAGAAATTGTCGAATGACGTCAACGGCTATCCAGATTTGCTTAAAAGGGTCATAACCGGTGACAAATCATGGGTAATGTGTGATTTTTTTGCTGGTATCTTTTTGGCAACACTGTTTTTGACAGATCACGCGTGAATCGTGTTCTGTGTCACTGTCAAACTTGTATGTATAGTTTGGTCTATAATTTAACCATGAATCGACTTACGAATGAACAACGCTTGCAAATTATTGAATTTCGTTATCAAAATTCATGCTCGGTAAAGAAAGTGCATCGTGCACTTCTTCCAATTTATGGGCAGTTTCGTCGACCTACTGAGGGAGCTATTCGGAAGCTTGTGGACTAAATTTCGAACCCAGTTTACATTATTGGACATTAAATAAACCACCAACACGCATACGTAGTGTTCCGCCAGTGTTCATGATGACCGTGGAATGTCGATTCGCCGCCGTTCGCAGCAACTGGGCCTCTGTTACTCCACTACGTGGAAAACCTTATAAGATACAGCTGGTGCAAGAATTGAAGCCACACGACCTCCCGAAACGTACCAAAAAGTGCATATCAGAACTGCTACGAGAATTGGAAAAAACGCTGACACCAGTGTATTATATCTGAGGGTGACTACTTTGAATCCGAATCAGGAGACTTTCGAAATACCTGGAAGACGTCCTATTGATGAAGGCAGGTGTTGGCAGCCCTGGGAATGAAGATACTATTTTATACATTCCGGGGATCAGAAGAGACTTTTGAGATCGAAAGCGTTGTTTATATTTTACGGATTTCCGTTGTTATATAGTTTTGAATAAAGTTTATCAAAGCCATTGAAGTCTTAGAGATACACCCGTTTTCCACGAATATAATAGTTGTTCAAAGTGCATTGCTGAATACTTTGAAATATTAAAGTTCATTGTATGAAAATTGTTCGGTATCAGGAAAAACGTCATTGATTTTCTTCGAGAAATGAGTCAGTGCATTCATAACTCAATTATGTGAATTATACTGATAATACTCACCGGTAAATCGGTCATGAACTGTATTCTTTCTTGTGAGTTTTTTCCTTTCTTCGGCCTGATAAGCAAGTATATCTTTCCAATGTCGGGGCAGGATCTCAAGAGCTTTTCTATTAAAACTTTTCCGATGAATCCAGAACCTCCTGTGATGAAGACATTTTTCTCCGAGAAATACTCGGGGATTGTCGGAATTGCTGCCATTTTGGAAACGAAATAATGCGTCGAGTGAATCGCCCCTGCTGATAATAATTCGTCGACTGTTTTGTGGTAAACAGCACTACATTTCCATAATATCTATTGAATTTAAATGAAGTGGATAGTCTATATACATAAACGCAACCTTTTACATTCAAATAACGAATATTAGTCCAGGAGGAATCGGCGTATGAGTACCACTTGAATTTTTAAAGGGATCCCCTTTAAATTACTACTGACGATATAAATGCATGTTTTTTATTTTTCAACCGGCCAATATTTGAAGTTATGGGAGGGTGAACTGCTTCGTTATGTAACGTGTAACGGCGCCAGTCTGTCTGGCTTCCCTTTCTCCTCACTCTAACGCCAGTATAAAATCGGCCATTTTATTGGTAGCCGGTGCTTGCACACTCACCGGATTTTTATCGGTCAAACAATCAGTTGCTTTGTTGTCGTAATTACCGACGGCTGCTCACCGGTATTTTACCGGCGACGATCACCGGTCGGCGTGTGTGCAAGGTCCCGTTCCCAGATGTGGTTCACTATTGGAATTTGGACGACCAGTACAAAGTCGGCCGTCCAAAATCGGTGTGTGTGCAACTAGCGTTAGGCATGTGTGCCAGGTCCCGTTCCCACATTGGTTCACTATTGGAATTTGGACGACCGGTATAAAATCGGCCGTCCACAATCGGTGTGTGTGCAATTAGTCTAAGCCACAGTGCCAGCCGTATTTCGGACAGACGCTTCCCTCTCGTCCCTTCGCATGACTCGGTATTCAATATTAAGTAGCATCAGCAATAAATAACTGAAACGATTAGAATGAAATATATTGGTAATCCTACTAATACTACTTCTACTGATATTATAAATGCGTAAATTTTGTGAGAATGGATGGATGTAATGTATGTATTTACGTTTTATACTTTTTCACGCCTAAACTGCTCAACGGATTCAAATTTAACTTGGTATATAGATAGATCATGACCTGGGATAAAACGTAGGGTAGGTTCTCACGGTAGCGCGGGTGAAAAGCGGGAAACAGCTAACTATTGATTGACTGATACTCTTATATTAACGTACAGCCAAAGTTACTGAACGTAGAATCTTGAAATATGCAGGTAGGTTCTTTGTATAGCGTAAATATGCATCAATGAAGGGAATCGGAAATTTCCACCCCCAGTTTTGAAGTTGGAAACTTAAATTATGGGTTAATAAAAAAAAATTTGTTTTAAATGGTCTGTAACGAAACTTAATATGACAAAATCAATTCTACGCGGGCGAAACCGATTATTATTTTTACTTCAAAAATACAGTAAATAAAAAAATGCCCACTGCTCTGAGTAATGAATAGCTTTGAGAGTCGAAATATGTTGCCTTTAAAGAAATTTCGCAAAACTAACACAACCGTCAACGACGTCTGCCCTCAAGCGTCTGCCCGCGTTCGGGTCGCGTTCTTGGCGATAGCGCTTCATTGCTTAGACCCCCCTCTACCCCTGCGCATCGTCCTCCGTCGTAGTATTTTGCATATAGCGGCTAACACGTAACTTATCGTTATATTATGACCAAATTTATATAAAACCTTTGTAAATTGTAGCCTATATGTTATTCTAATGTACACCTACGCTGCATTTATGTAAAGTTTCATCTAAATCCGTTCAGTCGTTTAGGCGTGATCGATCGAATACGTTTATTTTCTCTTAATGTTGGTAAGTTATCATTACATGTGTTTTATGTGGTGCCCTGCTGTAGGTTAGTGCTTCTTCATGGGCTGTGTTAATTAAAAAAATGATAATTGTTTCTGTGTGTAGCTTAATCTAGTCTCAGCTGTTGGATGTTTATGTATGGGTACAGTACTTTTGTTCTGTGTTGATCGTGTTAGTGGGTCTTCTCTCGTTCCTTAGGCATTGCTGTTTTTGTGTATGGGTTTTGGATTATCCTTGGTGAGGTTGTCCAGGTATAGTTGCATGTGGTTTGTTGGTTGGTGGGGAGTCTTGGGGGATATGTACAACTATTTATTCCTGGTCTCCTCCTCTAGTAGTGAGCTGTTTTTTTACCGGATCGCCAGGGGGAACTCAAGAATGTCCTGGAACCGCTCCGGGATATCCTCCACGGCTCCATGCGTGAAAGAGACAGAAACACACATATATACTTTTATCCATCCTCACAGATTTCCACATTTATATTAGTATATATAAATAAAGATGTAGATAGATGAATAATGATTCAGGACACAAGGTCATTGAATCTGGTGTACGACAGGGTTCTCTGCTAGGCCCTATTCTGTTTCTGCTATATATGAATGACATCTCTATGATTAACATAACTGGTAGTTTCACTCTATTCGCGGATGATACTACAATATTGTGGAAAGAAAAAACTCAGTGGAGCTAAAGAAAATAATATCCGACTTGAAGAAGGTGAAGAGCTGGTGGTTCGCTTGATGAAATTTCAATAGACGCTGCCATATTACAAAATGAATTAAACACACAATTTCTCGGTGTATTCATTGATAATAGGCTGAAATTTGATGAAAACTTCAAACAACTCAAGTGTAAGATCTCCTCCGGATGTTATGCAGTTAGAGTGGTTTCAAATGAGTTGGGTTTCCATGTCGCAGAGACCGTTGACCATGCAGTTGTTGAATCTCGACTACTTCTGTATTGATATTACAGAAGAGGGCACTAAGATGTCTCTGTAAAGTCAAATCCAGAGAATCGTGCAGGAATTTAGACTTTAGACTTCCCATCCCAACTTCGAATTTAATCAAGGATTCAAGATACTATAATGGTGGTAAATTGTTCAATCATTTACCATTAGAAATGAGATCTGCAAATTTAAGCAATATTCATTTCAAAAAGGCGGTGAAGAACCTACTTGTTGATAGACCCTATTATAGTTTGGAAGAGTATTTTAGCGAATNCTCACTTACCAATGTATACTAGGTAATTATTTTTATATTTCTATATAAAACATGCTATCCCCCAGGTTAAGTTGTACTTCTTCTTTATAAACAATGTATGTCAATGAATAAAGCCCATTTATTATTATTATTATTATTAGATCAAGCAATAATGTCGGTAATTCTGTCAAATACAGATCCCGAGCTTGAGAGTTACAAACAAACAAACATACATACATACAACTGAAGCTAATATGAAGCGTGTAATAAAAAGGGTTATTTTTGACGTAGCTTATCATTGTAATTTGATAAATGAAATTTAAAACCTCTGAAGCTATTGAAAATACTTTTCCCTGACCAGAACTGAAAAGCTGTTTATCGACGCAGGTTTTTCTAACCAAGTTGGCGTTATCAGGAGATGACAAAAACTACTTCTTTCAAGCTATGGTAATGCTTTCATATGCATCTATAGGCGACTCATTACCTTGCATAATAAGAGTAATTAAAATTGAAATGAGTATATTTTTAGGAGAGAAAAAGTCGAACAGAGATGATAGATAGCATGCAAGTTTACAAATTTTCTGTTGAATAAAGAAAATAATAAAATACATTGATGGCTGTTTCAAAATTTTTGTCCCTTTTTATGAGTCTGCTTTAAACTGTAATATCTCAATAAATACTTGAATCAGTGTACTTTTTCCAACGTAACACAAGTTGATTAATTTCATCATCATAAAAATTGGGTGCTCGGGATTCGATGAAGTAAGTCAACGATGAAGTCTTCTGTTGGCCAGTGCCATTTGGAACCATCAAAAACCGCATGTAAGCTGTTCTGGGCCCAGTTCTTTCGCAATCCCACCAACCGTTTGTGATGGTCCACCACTAGGGTCCTCAACTGCTTGTCCTGGATTACTGTAGGTCGATCACTTCAGGGCCCATCCTCGAAGCTGAAATCTGCGCTATTTAACACTATCATTGCAAAAAATGGTAGGAAACTTCAAAAGAAAGGAATTATGTCAAAAAAAACCTACAAAAATGTGCAGAGCATGCATATAAGTTACGTCTATTAAGCAATGAATGCTTTCGTCTGGTGAAGTAAAATTAATAAACCTGTATAATATACAGGGTGAAATTTTAGGAGAGACAAAGTTTTGGAAAAGAAAGCTTTTGCTTTTCACTTCTCCATCTTGTGCTTGAAAAAATATTAGTCCGTTGGCGGGAGATCTGGGAAGTATGGTGTGTGAGGCAGAGTTTCGACGCTCAATTCGTTTAATTTTCGGACGGTGATTTGTGAAACATGCGGACGGGCGTTGTTGTGGAGCAGGTTCGGACCTCTTCTGTTGGCCAGTGCCGACTGATATTTCGGATTATTTCGACGAGTTTCCCACCATAGGACTCCGCTGTGATAGTTTGGCCCAGTTACAGGAAGTTCTAGTGAATCACACTAGCCGCTGACCCCCCATTCAGTAACCATGGTCTTTTTCTGTGGCTTTTCGCCTTCTGTATCTGTATTTGTAGAGTAGAGAGGGTGAGTGTAGGCCCTTAGCACTTAGGCCACATATGACCCATTGTACATCTTCTCAAGTAGTTGTCCTAGATCATCGTCCGTCCTGTCCTTTCCAGATTTCCGGAGATTTTAGGTTTTTTCCCTTTGGGAAGTGCCTGGGTAGCTCATCGGTGTCGTAGAGGATCCACTTTTCATCACATATGATGATCCGGTCCAATAGAGGTTCGTTTCGGTTGCGCAAAAGCAATGAAGAACAGAGCTCGATCGTTCAAATTATGAGGCACCCACTTTTTGACTTTTCCAAAACGTTTCAAACCATCAAAAACCGCATGGGAGCAACTCCTCGTCCTGGATTTCTGTAGGTCGATCAATTCAGGGCCCATCTTCGAAGCTGAAATTTGCGCTATTGAACACTATCATTGCAAAAAATGGTAGAAAACTTCAAAAGAAAGGAATTATGTCAAAAAAAAACCTACAAAGATGTGCAGAGCATGCATATAAGTTACGTCTATTAAGCAATGAATGCTTTCGTCTGGTGAAGTAAAATTAATAAACCTGTATAATATACAGGGTGGATTATACATGATGGTGTCTTATATATTTTTAGAACTTTTTTATATTTACCTTTATACATTTTTGGAACTTTTTTATATCTGGATTTATACTTCTCTAGTACTTTTTCTATATCAACATTGCATTTCTTGGACTTTGTCAATAAGATGCAAATCTTCGGACAATAAAGTATATTTTGGTTTGATTTGATTTGAGAGAGGCCGATGCAACTTACAAGTAAGGGAAGCATACTGGTGATCGCGCGTAATAAATAGTTAAAAAACAGGCATAAACAATGAAATTTTTCCAAATCTCCATTGAGGATATTATTATCTATTTTTTATATTTTTCGTTTACGGTACCTACTCATACGCCGATTCATCCTGGACTATAAGAACAATAGCGATTATTGCAATGGTAATTTTTTCAACTGATAGAGCCCTGAGGAGTTTGTTGACCTCTGCATTGATTCGCCTGGAGCAAGAAAAAAAAGAGGCTATCGAGAAGGAGAAGAGAGAAATCGTCGAACAACAAATTCGAGAGGAACAATTGGAAAAGTCGATCCAGTACATACGCGACGTGATAAATCTATTCATGGAACATTCGAAGGCTGAAAGGGAACAATCTGAAGTGAGTGGGAAGCAATGCTTCAGTATTCACTGCACACTACGAGTCTGTATCCTGGTGTTGTTTGGAGAGAGATGATACTGGGTCTAATTTGCGAACAGCTAGTTCATGTTTACAGGCTCTGTTGGAAATTCTTCTATTGGTCTGGCCGATGTATTCGGCTCACTTTGTCAGTACCTCCATGGATGTAGGGGAGAAAGTCTTTTGTCTGGTTAGTCTGTTAGAATTTCCAACAGAGCCTATGAACATGAACTAGCTGTTCGCAAATCAGACCCAGCATCATCTATTTTCAAACACCACCAGGAAACAAGCCACACAATAAGTTTCGAATACACCAAGATCATTGCTACGTAGAAAAATCTTCAGGCCATGATAATTCATGAAGCAATCGAAATTGAAAAACGTCCCAAATGCCTTAACAAGCGAGATTATTCGCAGAGACTACCACAAAGAGTGCGGTTGCTGCACTTCTTAATATTGAAGGAGCATTTGACTATGCGCTACCTTAATCTATAGGATTGTCTCTGGCTAGAAAGGATAGTAAACAGAACTGCAACTACGATTCTTCAAGGCGAGGCCATCAGGTTCAGGGTCTGCGGGGGCTGCCCTCTAGGTGGGGTGCTATCTTCCCTTCTGTGGTCGCTCCTGGTGGATAGTCTTCTTGATGCCCTCGACAGAAGAAAAGTTGATCTGCAAGCTTATGCAGATGACCTTGTCATCCTGGCAAGGTCCACGTCGGGAAGGGTAGCTTGTAATATCCTCCAAAGCGCGTTGGACGTTGTTCACAGTTGGTGCCTGAGGGAGCAGATGTCTGTCAACCCCAGCAAAACTGTGTNCTACATTTAGTTATTTTAAATCTAGTTTCTTTATCCAATTCTGAAGAGTTTTTTCACAGCAGATCACGTTATGGCCGGAAGTATTTAATTTCTTCCTTATGATTTCAATTTTAGGAATCTCATTGCTTTTGTAACAGTCGAATATTGTTTTTTTAATGATTTTATTAGATGAACATCTAAAGGTTTTGGTAATCCCGCATCAAATCTCGTCTTGCGTTCATAAGGTTTGTTTTTTACGTGCAGTCGACAAAGGAATTTCGGTCAAATCTAATGTTGCTTGTAATAGTTTTTTCCCTCGAAACCAAACTTGATATGTAGATTCTTATATACATTGAAACGTACTCTCTTTGTTTCAATATTCAAATGCATCCGAATCTTATTCACTGGTATCTCTTTTTCGCATTGTTCACCATCGCTATTGGAATCACTATACAGGAAAAAGTCTGCGTTGTTATCACACTCGTTATTACTATTAGTACTTATCCAAGAACGCCACATTTTAAACAGATAACAAAAAATTTTAAGTAATTACAACTGCAACAATATCGAATTTCAACACTCAAATCGCGATCAGTTCCTGAACTGTTATGACTCTTCAGCCAGTCATAAAACTCGTATTATCCAATACGAACCGCCAATTTTTCAGTCCACGTGGACTAGTTGGCAGCGGCTTTATTCCTCTGTATTGGTTTTCCTGGCCTTTGAGGGCGCCGACAACTTTAAGTATGCACAATACCGGTTACTTCGAATATATAAAATACAGTAGACTTATTGTGGTAGTATTTGTAAAAGTTCTGCATTGCCTCATCACATATCCTAGCGTTCTACTGGCGGTTGATACTATATTATATTCATAACAATAGTTATGAGTTGCCTTTTCTCTGGAAGTGTCAAATTTTTATCTTGGTTTTGTCATCAGTGGACAAATAAACGTAGATGACCAAATATTCTAAAAGTATTAAAAATTTGGCGCGAATAGTGAACCAAAAAAAATATGGTAATTGCTCGCTCTATTTCTATTTTCAGAGTCTGTACTAAAATCGATAACAAAAGTTCCCAAAGAAACTGGTAAGTACGAGAAGACTTCAAACACCATTCATTAAGGGTTTCTGATTAGAAAGGTTGACTGGATCGAGCAAAGTATTACCAGTTGAACAGTCGAAGGATAAATTGAAAAAATCATCATCATCAAAAGTTGTGTTCAAGCCTGATAGTGAAAAAAATTCACCAGAAGATCAAAATGTCCCGCCTGAAAAAGAGAAGGTCGGCAAGAAAGCTAAAAAACAAAAAAAGGGCAAGAAAATCCCTGAAGAGGACGCACCCACAGAATCAACAAACAAAATGGAAGTGGATGTCGAAAAGCCAAAGAAAAAAGGAGGAAAAAAGCAGAAGAAAATTACTATGGTTATTCCTTCTGCTACTGAAGTTCCTTCGGTTACCAAAACTTCTTCCGTTACAAAAACTCCTTCAGAAATGAAACCTACCTCAAAAACATTGATGTCCGTAACTGAACAAGGATCGGAATTGTTTTCTTCTAAAACTGACATGACAGCAGCCGGACCTCGGGTGCAGTCTCAGAGGACAATGACATCATCAGTAATATTACCTAGAGGTGTGTATTCTTAATAATCTGCAAGACCCACCTCTGTGGGATATCTTTGATAATTTAATGAATAGATTTGGGAAGCTGAATACAGTTATTTGAATGAATGAGTCGAAGAGTTTTGTAATTCTTATTGCAAAGCTCTTTCCACTTTCGTCTGTGAAATATTATTTTTACCTTACACTGATCACAATATGTGTACGGTTATTTCCAAATTTATAGAAATTACCATACCTGATACAAACATTCTTTTAAATCTCACAATAATTTGAGCAACTTTTTAGTAAATTTCAAAGACAAAATTAGCAAGTTACATAGAAGTGGAGTCTATAAGCTTGACAGCTATGATTGTTCTGCATCTTACATTGGTAGAACTTGTAGACCTCTCATTACTCGCATTAATGAACATTTAAAAAACCCGAAAAATGATCTTCAACGAAATGGATACTCCAAAGCGATGGNAGAGATTTTTTATTAATTCTTAAATCAAAATCTGATTACTGGACAATGAGAAGAAAAAAGTTTCTATAGTAAATGTTCAAAAACGTTTCCATCAACTTCCATACATTGGTACGAGCTTCCACATGGTTGATAATCTCGGGAGTTACTTCTCTGCAATACCTCTTGATATTCTCTCTGCCTTGCTTCATGATATTTCAAATCTTCTATCTCATACACTTGAACGTCAAATGACCCCCATAGAAAGAAATCTATAGGAGTGAGATCCGGAGACCTTGGTGGCCATTCTGTAAGACATCATCTGCCAATCCAGCGACCAGGAAAATGATCATCCAAAAATTGTAAACTCGATACGTCTATCGAAATCATCTCTGTTCAATTCATGAGTCTAATCTGGATGAAATTTGTACTTATGAAGGATCCTGAAAACATTTGTATGACTGATCGCTTCATCGGTTTTAACGGAAGCTGACCGTTTGGCGGGAGTTGGTCGTGTTCCGCTTGATTAGAAGTTTCCATATGTTGCGTATCTCTACGCTAGATTGGCTAAATGCGTTGTTGGACAACATATATGCGGCACGGTACAAATTAGGAAATAAGTTTCATTTCGGGCAAATTAACAGAGTAGTAAAGATTGGTATATAGCGTATAATTCTGCTGTGTATACGCTGGTCGTTGACTGCATCAACCAGATATTGAGGTGTCCATTTACAAGGAAGGCACAACCCACCCCATTCTCGATCTTTGATCCATTAGTATATAGAGAATAGAAAATGGAAACTGTCGGTTTTCACAACAGTTTTTTCCTAATGTGTAGTCAGTGGATCAAATATATGCTATCATTATATTTTAACAAAAAACTCCTCAATTGTATAGAACTGGCCCATACTTGATAAAAATCCATATTAAAACTAGCTAATACACTTTATTGTATGATTTTCACTATATGATTGTATAATTTATAGTGAGAATCATACAATAAAGTGTATTAGTTAGTTTTAAAATATTACACATTGTGAGAAATGTCGCCCCCCTTAAATTAATGTTAAAAAAAGAATTGACTCCTGAATTGACTATAAAAATAGAAAAAAAAATCCTCATTTTGTATTATTTTCTTTCTATTCGAACGAAACAAATGGAATTACTTCTACTGTAAGGAGGAAGCAGTAAGCTGAGAACAACGTCAAGTCAAAAATTGAAAAGATCCTCGAAAAAGTTAGCGTCGAGCAGAAGTCTTGGTCTGGTAATACCAATTTAACAAGTAATTACAAAATGTTCACAAAAATCTTATAAAAGGACGAATCATTCGAAGAGTACTCTTCCTCTACCGCATCTTCAGAAGAAGTCGTTATAAAAGACAAGAAAGAAAAGAAACGTCCACCGAAAAAAGAAAAAAAATCGAAGGTAACTACTTGAAATTCGTATGAGAATCCTCTCATAACTATTCAATTTAATGGTTAGAAAAAAACCAGGGAGAAGTCCGACCTTGATGTCGAAGAGAAACCTGAAGAACCAGTGGAAAAAGAATACGATGTATTGGAGGACATCGCCAAAATGAAAGCTGAGTCGATGCAACGGGCTATGTCAGGTTAGTATAATCTCGGTACTGAATGAAGACCATACTGAGATGAAGGCCGTGATCATTTCTCGTTGGTCGATATTTACCCTTGATTTATAATTATACATTTTTGGTCTAAACCGTCCTTGATGGAAAATCTTCAGTAAGGTTTTCTCAAGTATAAAATATTCCTACTTGGTTGTTATCGTGAACGTTAAAATGAAATAGACCCAGTTATTTACCTGAAGTCGACGTTCAGGACCATTCTGGGGTCGTGCTGTCGATCTGGGCGTTGTCATATCGAATCCGTGATGATCCTTCAATATCCACCAACACTGACCTAAAAAAACTTCATTGCCAACGAGTTCCATTCAGTAAATTAAAGTTACAACATTTTTATGGAACAAACATCGCCCTCACTACCGGTCACCCCCTTCCACTCGTCCAGGGACATAACTACCAGAACAGAAACGATGAACTGACAGACCCCAGCCAGGTAGGGGTAGATTGTGAACGTACACCCTGTACATGTTTTTCTCCTAAGCGATGAGACACCCTGTATGACAGCCATGTTTTTTTCTTTAACGCCCGTGGCCATGTTTTTTTCTTTAAAACGATTTTACATTCATTATTATTATTATACTATTATTTTTCACTCTGACGTATTTGAGACACCCCGTACATGTTTTTTCTCAAACGACGAGGCACCCTGTATGACAGCCATGTTTTTTTTCTTCTTCAATCCGATTTTTCGTTCATTATTTTCATTATATCATTATTTTCCACGCTGACGTATTTGAGACACCCCGCACATGTTTTTTTTTCCTAAACGATGAGACACTGTGTATGACAACTATGTTTTTTTCTATTATGTTGGGATCCATGTTTTTTTCTTTAATCCGATTTTTCGTTCATTATTAATATTATACCGTTATTTTTGTAATTCCACCGCGCCCTTATCTATCAAATGAATCTACTCGATACTCATTCCATCCTTCTACCATAAGTACGTCCCCTAGGGAATACGTAATAGAACTCTCGTATCCCCTCTACTGAGGACTTTCTTGCCGTCATCCATCCCCAATCAGTTGTGTCTCGTTATAGTCTAATCAACAAGTTCAAAGACATGAAATATAGAGATGAAGGTCCTAAAAATATAAACGATAGCTCATTCGATTCGGAATCACCCCTTGAAAAATGTTTTTGCAGGTAAAAAATTGCAATTGTTATTAACAAAATTAGATTTAAAAAAATGGTATTTAGTTTTCCGTTGATAACTCAAAAAATATTGATATTTGAGCAATTTTGAAAAAAGCTCGTTGAAGAGGAGGAAATTTTTCATGGTGTTTTTTTCAAACAAATGCATGGTACCGCAATGGGCAGTATATAAAGTCCGGCAAAAAATTTCGAACTACGGACCTTAGAGCAGGCGGCCGTGAAATCATATTGTTGGCTACGTTATGTTGATGATGCGTTCTTGGTGTGACAAGGTGGTGGAGATACACTAAACAACTTTCCATGATATTCAATCGACCCAAAAATCGATTTCACAATGGGACGAACTCTAGCCTTCTTGGATGTTCTTGTGAACAGAGAGATATCTGAACAAAAACTCTAACCACCAGCCACAGAAGAGAGGGGTAATAGTAACGTTGATTGAGAGAGCTCGACGTATTTATGAACCTGAGTCTTCCTGAGGAGCTCAATCACCTAAAAAATGCCTTCAAAGGAAATTAATACAGCTAAAGAGAATTCGATCGGCCATACGATCCAGGACAGCGAACGCCAAAGTACCCCAGCGAGGCTAGTCAAGAGAAAGGCTTCTGTTGTAAATATAACAGACACGATTGGGAGAATCTTAGAGAAACACGACTTAAATCTAATATTTTGACTATCAGACAAAGTCTAAGGTCAATTAAGGACCCCAGAGAACCTTCAGGAACGCTCGTCAGGCTTGAAACCTGCATACCACAACCAAAAACCCGGAAAATAGCTTCCACACACAGTAACCCCAGCGAGGCTAGTCAGGGGAAAGGCTTGTGTTGAAAATATCACAGTTCCGATTGGAAGAATCTTAGTGAAACATGACGTGTATCTAATATTATGACTATCAGCCAAAGTCTGAGGTCAACTAAGGACCCCAAAGAACCTTCAGCAATGCCCGTCAGGCTTGAAACCTGCATACCACAACCAAAAAACCCGGAAAATAGCTTCCACACACAGTAACCCCAGTGAGGCTAGTCAGGGGAAAGGCTTGTGTTGAAAATATCACAGTTCCGATTGGAAGAATCTTAGTGAAACACGACGTGAATCTAACATGACTATCAGACAAAGTCTAAGGTCAACTAAGGACCCCAGAGAACCTTCAGGAACGCTAGTCAGGCTTGAAACCTGCATACCACAACCAAAAAACCCGGAAAATAGCTTCCACACACAGTAACCCTATCGAGGCTAGCAAGGGGAAAGGCTTGTGTTGAAAATATCACAGGCCTGATTGGGAGAATCTTAGAGAAACACGACGTGAATCTAATATTTTGACTAACAAAAACTATCAAAGTCTAAGGTCAACTAAGGAACCCAAAGAACCTTCAGCAACGCCCGTCAGGCTTGAAACCTGCATACCACAATCAAAAAACTCGGAAAATAGCTTCCACACAGTTTTTGTAAAATAACATAAATTGAAAATTAACCTTCAACATGCTGGCAGACCAAATCACCCTCTTTGAGTACTCAACAAACACTGATTATTGCGAGTAGCCAAAAAATCATATATAGTAAATGTGCATAGAATTTGGATTTCCGATTTTGGTCAGGCCTTTATCTTTGTATGCTAGAATCAAGATGAACTAGCAGTCACGCGAATCCTTTGTTCCTCAGAAGTCCAGGAACCTGCGGAAACTGTCGAAGAAGTTGTAGTAGAAGAACCAAAAAAGGTCGCCCGTTTTTATGTCTCCCATTCCTCGAATCAACAAAAAACTCTTTGTTGCAGGTGCCGAAGAAGAAGGTTTCGAAGAAGGAGAGGGCTCGCATGACGGCCGAAATGGCGGAGAAGCTGAGAATAGAGGCCGAGCAAGAAGCTGCGAGATTGGCCGAATTAGAGAGGATTCGCCTGGAGCAAGAAAAAAAAGAGGCTATCGAGAAGGAGAAGAGAGAAATCGTCGAACAACAAATTCGAGAGGAACAATTGGAAAAGTCGACCCAGTACATACGCGACGTGACAAATCTATTCATGGAACATTCGAAGGCTGAAAGGGAACAATCTGAGGTGAGTGGGAGTAATGATGCTCTTTTACTTCTTCGCTTCAGCGAGAAGCTATGCTTCAGTATTGATTGCACACTACGAAACTGTTTCCTGGTGTTGTTTGAAGAGAGATGATGCTGGGTCTAATTTGCGAGCAGCTAGTTCATATTCATAGGCTCTGTTGGAAATTCTTCTATTGGTCTGGCCGATGTATTCAGCTCACTTTGTCAGTAACTCCATGGACGTAGGGGAGAAAATCTTTTGTCTGGTTAGTCTGTTAGGATTTCCAACAGAGCCTATGAACATAAACTAGCTGTTCGCAAATCAGACCCAGCAACATCTATTTTCAAACACCACCAGGAAACAAGCCACACAATAAGTTTCGAATGCACCAAGACCATTGCTACGTAATCTTCAGGTCAGGATAATTCATGAAGCAATCGAAATTGAAAAACGTCCCAACTGCCTTAACAAGCGAGATTATTTGCAAAGACTACCACAAAGAGTGCGGTTGCTGTATTTCTTGATATTGAAGGAGCATTTGATAATGCACTACCTAAATCTATAGGATTGTCTCTGGCTAGAAAGGTTATAGAATCGACCATACCTGCTGGATCTATGCCATGCTAATGAACAGAACTACGACTCTTCAAAGCGAGGCCATCAGATTCAGGGTCACCGGGGGCTGCCCTCAAGGTGGGGTGCTATCTCCCCTTCTGTGGTCGCTCCTGGTGAATAGTCTTCTTGATGCCCTCAACAGAAGAAAAGTTGATCTGCAAGCTTATGCAGATGACCTTGCCATCCTGGCAACGTCCACGTCGGGAAGGGTAGCTTGTAATATCCTCCAAAGCGCGTTGGACGTTGTTCACAGTTGGTGCCTGAGGGAGCAGATGTCTGTCAACCCCAGCAGAACTGTGTTAATCCTCTTCACCAAGAGAAGGAAATTGGATGATCTGACGCCACTTTCTCTCAATGGTGTAGTCATTCCATTTGGAACGGAGGTGACATATCTTGGCATTGTCCTTGATAGAAAACTCACCTGGAACGCTCACTTGGAAAAAGTTTTACACAAAGCCAGACTGTCTCTATGGACATGTCCTCATCGAGGAACAAGTACAAATCAAAACACAACAAGACCTCACATTCAATATATTAAACAAAACCATACACATGCCTAGAGAAGATCTAACACAAAGGAGAGTACCTGATGCAGAACAAATACAGGCAAATTTACCTAAAGTACCTGAAATACCTGAGTTAAGACGCTCTGACCGTATAAAGAG